TAATAAAATCATATAGGTTTCAGGTGTACAATCCTATAATACATCATCTGTGTATTGTATTGTTTGTTCACCACCCCAGTCTGGGATGCCCAATTACCAGCTGTTCCAAGCCAGCAAGGGACAAAGCGTGGGTATGAACTGAGATGCTCCAAAGCCTACACTCTTGACTAGACCAGACTAGTAAAGAGAATGAAAAACAAAGAACTTGGGAAACGAGCTGGAGACCAGCACTAAGGAATTCGGCTCCTTGGAATTTGATTACCCAGTCTTCTTGTTCCTAAGAAATCCCTGGAGATAATTAATTCCTTTGTGTCTGTTAGCCACTAGCACTGTACAAAGACTGAAGTCACATGTATGGTTAGAGCTTCGGATCCCAGCATCAGCTCTCTGATGTTTCTAGTCCCTTACTGAAATCGCCTTGCAAGTTTTCCCAATCAGCTGTCTGTGGGAGCAATCAAGTTCTAACCTCGATTCCGCCTGGGAAGCTTTGGTCGCCCTGATCACGCCTCCATGGGAAAAATGAAACTGACAGAGTAAGGGAGCAATTCCAAGAATAATTTTGGCACTCGATTTAAGACTGGAAAATAATTTTCCTTCTTACTTGGGGAAGGAAAATGCCTCAAGAACAGTAAAAGCCTGCAGGAGAGGCCAGCTGAGAGCCCCTTTTCTTCTTCCCCTCTGCCAGGGCTTATGTCTGTACAACAGCTGAACTATTTGCTACCTTCCTGAGTTTGTACTCAGTTGTTCATAGCAGATCTGGAAATAAAGTAAAAAGTAAAAAAAATTAAGCCAAATAACAAGACTTCGGAATGGGAGAAACAACAGTCTTTATAAGTACAAGAATTAAACTAAAATTCCAGCCTTATCATGAGGTAAGTTTTTTGAACCCTAAGAATTATATTTTGCAATATTAAATGTATCATTTTTGAAAAAGCCATTCCTTTAGAACCTTCTTGGTTACCACTATTTTCAAATTTCCTTTCTAATAGCCATTCTATATAGTACAAAAGAGATAAGGGACATCTGTGCAAAAATGCATTCCTGAAAATTTGTACAATCTCTCTGTAATCTTGATGAAGGGTACACTAACAACATTTATCAAAATTACAATACAAAATTACTAACTTTTTGACTCAGAATTGTCACATCCAGGAATTTATATGATAAACACACTTGCACATCCACTGATATATGTACATTGTTATTCTGCACCATAGTTTATCTAAAGGCAAAAAAGAATAGAAACAACCTAAATGTCAATAAATGGCTAGCTGAATAAATCACAGTACACGTATGCAATGGAATACTATTCATTCATCAGAATGAACAGGAAGCTAATATTTAATGTCTTGATATTTAATGACCTCCACAATATATTGCTAAACCAAAAAGCCAGGTGCAGAACAGTGTAGAAACTATAGACAAAAGTCAATTTGTATGCGGGTGGGAGTGGGGATATATATGTTTTTTGCTTTATATGCAGAAACTATCTCTAGAAGAACACAGAGAAACTTGTAAGATTGATTACTTCAGAGAACTGAGTGACTGGTAAGATGGAGACCCTTCACTGTGTGCTTTTTGTATCATTTGTGTTTTGAACTACAGTAAGAATTTAAAAGGATAATTTTTAATTGAAAAGATTGAGAAGTAATGCATAACAAAACAATAGTTTCTTTAATATATGATTTGTTTTTCCTTTAAAGAAATAGTAAATAGCCCAGCCGGGTGTGGCTCAGAGGATGAGCATCGACCTAGGATCCAGGAGATCAGGGTTCGATTCCCAGTCAGGGCACATGCCTGGGTTGCGGGCTCCATCCCCAGTCGGGGGCGAGCAGGAGGCAGCCGATCAAGGACGACTCTCTCCTCACTGATGTTTCTCTCTCTCTCCCTCTCCTTTTCCCTTCCTTGCTCTGAAATCAATAAAAATATATTTAAGAAAGAAAGAAAGAAAGAAATAGTAAATAGCCCTAGCCAGCTTTGCTGAGTGGTTAGAGAGTCAGCCTGCAGACTGAAGGCCCCGGGTTCGATTCTGGCCAAGGGCACTTACCTCCGTTGCAGGCTAGATCCCCGGCCCCAGTCTGGGCATGTGCGGGAGGCAACCAATCACTGTGTCTCTTTCACATCGATGTTTCTGTCTCTCTCTCTCTCTCTGTCTCTCTCTTCCAATCTCTCTGAAAAGCAATGGAAAAAAACATCCTCAGGTGAAGATTAAAATAAATAAATAAATAAGTAAATAGTAAATAACAAAAATTGTGGAGTTGTATGTTGCACCCAAACACCTGGACATTTAAAAGCTCTCTTCACAATAACACTGAATAATAATAATAATAATAACAATCCAGGAGAAGCTTCAAGACCAAACTGCAAATTGTACAGAAGATAAATATTACAAAATTTCTGGATATTTTTATGGTCTCAAAGTGTCTCTCCACAGATTGTTTATCAGTTGCAAGGAGCAAAAGAGTATACAGTGAAGAAACCAGATGACACCTTGAATGGATGATCAAAATTAACATTGCCAATCAGAGGCCGACAAACATCTTGTGATGCCCTGAAAAGGACACAAATCACTTATGGGAATGTAAAACCAGATTTAATAAAAAGGAAACCCAAACTGAAGAACATTCTATCCCGGCCAGCATGGCTCAGTGGTTGAGCATCGACCCATGAACCAGGAGGTCACGGTTTGATTTCTGGTCAGGGCACATGCCCAGGTTTCGGGCTTGATCTCCAGTAGAGGGCGTGCAGGAGGCAGCCAATCATGACTCTCATCATTGATGTTTCTATCTCTCTCTCCCTCTGTCTCCTCTCTCTGAAACCAATAAAAACATATTAAAAAAAAAAGAACATTCTAATAACTGAGTTGTATTCTTTAAAAAATGTCAATGTTATGAAAAGCTGACTGTTCCACATTAAAAGAGACTAAACAGACATAACATCTAAATTCAGTATATCTTCCTGTACTGGGTCTTGCACTAATGGAAAATTTAATATTATAAAGGATATTATTGGGACAATTTATAAAATTAAATTATGGGTTATATATTAGATAAAAGTAATGTACCAATGGTTTTATATGAAATATTGTTCTTCAAAAGTACATGTAAAGGATGTGTATACAACTTAATCTCAAATGGTTGACAAAAAATAATGATGAATAATTATACATGCATTCATATGTACACATATAGTGAATTATAAAGCAAATGTGGCAAAATGTCAAAATGTGATGGGTTCATTGTGAATGTACTTATTGACACTGAATGGTTCACTTTAAAATGGTTAATTTTATATTATGTGAATTTCACCTCAATAAAAAAAAAAGGGGGGGTCGATTTGAGTAAAGGGTATAAAAGTTATTCAAAATTTCTCTGTACCATTCTTAGAACTTTTCTATAAGTTTAAAATCATTTCAAAATGAAAAGTTAAAGCATCTCTACATATCGGTTAGGTTCCAGGAAAATAGAAACCATAGTAGACAGTTCTATAGAGAAAATTTAATTTGGAAGTTAAATTGGTGATGCAGACAGTAAAGGACTGAAAAAGCAAAGGGACACTGAAGTAACTCCAAGGTCATGCCTGCAGGTAGCAGCTACCATGCTCTAGGAGAGGTCCCACAGAACTGAGACTCGGGCCTCTGAGGGGTACAGTGGGACTGGTTCACGAAGCATCGAAAAGAAACTAGAGGCTATGACCAGCTGCTCTTGCCCCTGTCAGGGCAGAGGCATTGCTGGCAAAGTTCCTGCTTCCTCCTCTTGCCTTCGAGTCTCCCTCTAATGTCCCCTATCAGCAGAATCTAACAGCATCCAGATGACAAAGAAGGAATGTAGTTTGTAGAGTTCCAGCCCCACTTTACAAAGCTCAGCAAGGAGGTTTGGAAAGCACTAGCAATAGGACTCAAGGTACTTGGAAAGCAATTCTTTCTGGGTTTGGAGGTGACAGATAATATAGCTTAACAACATGTACACTGTACATATCAGAATTCTGAGATGCACATAAAGCCCAGCTCGGAACTAAAGTCATAGCGTCCAATGCAAACACGGATACAGCTGATTTATGTTATTTGCAGTAGTTATGTTCTATTAAGTTGCCACAAACACCAAATTAGCAAATACTGAACCATTGACCCTCGGGATAATACAGGATTAGTTTCCTGGGAGCCTGGTCACAGTATTTTTGTCAAACAGTCAATACATAACTTTGTGTTCTTGGTGTTTGTGTTTAAAGGGATCTTATTTAATTGGTTAGCATTGAACTCATGTCCAACAGCGCTATAACTCATGCCCGAATAAAGCTCATCTAGCATGTGTATTTTCTCCTTAAGGCCCATCCAACCTTCTTGCAGGTAGAAACACGAGGCAATACTTCAGCACTTAATGTGGGGGAGGGGGAGCATAAACAGCAAAATTACCAACCAAAAACACTAAAATGTGGAAAATGTGGCACTAAATTGACTGTGCAAAGGGCACTTGCTTATAGTATGAAAGCTAAAATAAGAAGGTAGATTGTTGCCTTATTTAACCTCAGCTGGGAACAGGCACATCAGCCAACTCAATATTTATGCCATTCTGTGCACGTGGGAATGAATGCTGAACCACCCCAGGACCCACTGTTTACAAGTGTGGTGGGCGGTTCTCCCGGCTCCTAGTGACCCCTGCTTCCTGGCGTTCACACCCTTGGGCAATCTTTCCCCCTTACGTATGGGCTGGACTTGATGATTCACTTCTAGTGAAGAGAATTTGGCAATAGTGATGGGTAGAAACTTCTGTCATGAGGTTACTATAGGGGAGGGAAAAAAAGCTTTTTGCTTCTAAGTTCTCAGTAGGGACCTCTGTAACAAAGGACAGACTAACAAGAGAAAAACAAACCGCCTTATTAATGTGAGTATCTTATATGTCCTTGGGAAGAGTTCTGTGGGAACAGAACCTAGGAAGCCTTGGGGCTAATACACAGTCTCATGCAAGAGCAGGCACAGCGCTCCGGGCACACTAGGAATGCCTTCAGCCACTCAGCCCCAAACAAATGAGCTCTTCATAGTTGATACAACCATTGCTGTCCTCGTGCCCTGCCACTAGGATCCCTACATCTTCCTCTGTCACCTTCTCACTCAGTGTGGCTAGAACATGTATGATCTCAGCACCCAAGACAGTGCCATTCCCCTCCCTGCCAAACACCCTAAGGCCTTCGACACAGTCCTCATTGGTGCCCTGGTCCTTGCTCTTGGCCACAGTCTGCAGCACGGGCAGGAAGTGCTCAAAGTCCAACAGCTTCACATTCATCTCATCACTCTTGGGGTTCCCCAGGACTTTGGGCACCTCGGCGTGGGTGGGGTTCTGGCCCGGGGACCTCATCATGTACTGGCTGTATGCAATCTTGCCATCCTCTGTTCTGTCAAACAGCTGGAAGGCCTCCTTGAATTCTGCGGTCTCGTTCTTGGTGAAGTCACACATCTTGGCTGTTCATCTTTGCCGGACCTTCAGAGCAGTATTTTTTAACCTGTATGTCACAACTTATTAATGGTTCATGAAATCTGTGTAGTGGATCTTGACCAGAATTTTAAAATGACATACAAAAGAATATAAAAGTCTGAGTGCGTAGTACATAAGGTTAAGCACGTTTTCATAAAACTTGTACTTGTGTGTTTGAGTGGGTGCACATTAGTTGCTGTGTAAAATGTATTTCTTTCTCTTTGTCCAGGTCAAAAGGGTTTGAAAGCTACTAGTGCACAGTTCTCAGGGTACATGGGAAATAATTCTATACACACAGATAGTTCTCCAAAACATTTTTAATTGTGAGCCCTAAGTTTGAAACAGGAGATACAACGTTTCTTCAGTGAAATGTATGCACAACCATCTAGGCTTCAAACTGACTCATCTTTTCCAGGGGTAAACTTTCCTTTCTCTACCTGCATAATATCATCGACGATTTCCATCCGTTCCAAGGATCTTGTGTTTCATGGCAATTGTTAGACTTCTTCAGTTTTATCCATTTTAAAATTATACTTGCATGTTTTTCAGATTGAGGATTTGTTCATTTCTTGCTACATGGTGGATTCCTGAACTTTGACTATTTTTCCTTTAGTTTTAAGTTATAATTCGTTTCCATATGGAATCTACCCGCCTAACATATGGAAAAACAAAAGAAAAACATTGATGTTCAAGCCATTTCACCAGTCCTTTGGGTTGCCCTTGCCTCCCACCCTAATTCTTTCTTTCTGCTCTTTTCTACTCTCTTCGTAAGTATTGCATTGAGAAGGCATTTACTACCCCTCTATTCCCCCCGCCCCAGGGGAAGCCAGCTGCATGGTGCAAGCAGCCCTATGGAGAGCGCCTATGTGGGAAGGAACTGATGACTCTGGCTAACAGCCAGTAAAGACCTGAGGCTGCCAACAGCGACGTGAGTGAAATTGGAAGTGGATCCTCACCTAGCTGAGCCTTGAGATGACTGTACTCCTGACTTGACAACATAACTGTTCCTTCATGAGAGATCCTGAGCCAAAGGACCCAGCCAAACTGTATCTAGATTTCTGATCTACAGAAACAGTAAGATAATATTTATTGTTTTATGTTGCTATAATTTGGGGTAACTTGTTACACAGCAATGAAAACTAATACGGGGCAAGTCACCTATTGTTTGCACTTTGGTTGAAGGTATGGCTCAGCCACCATCATGGAGGTGGGACAGGAACAGGGGACAGAGGACAGGGGACAGGAGACAGGGATAGGGGACAGAGGAACAAAGACAGGGGACAGAAGACAGGGACAGGGGACAGGACAAAGGACAGAGGACAGGGACATAGCACAGGGATAAATGACAGAGGAGAGGGGACTGAAGACAGGGGACAGGGTGTGTTGAAAGGAGCCAGATAAGGTCTGTTCTCAATTCCTGATGAATCTGGGCACATGTGAGCACATGACCCAGGCTCAGCCTATCCAGGAATGACCTGGGATTTAGTGACCTAAACGTGTAAGTATGGTTGAGAAACGATTCTTCAAAGTGGCTGCCCTGAATGTCCCACAGCAGAGGTGTCAACAGCAGCTTCCTAGCCAGACTGCTCCTGCAGTGAATCTTGGTCTCTGGTCCTCAATTTTCCTGTCTGTAAAATGGAGATAACAGTTCCTATAATTTAGGGTTGTTGTGAGGATTATATGAATTTAAATATGGAAAGTGCTTAGGTCAGCACCTAGCAAACAGTGTTATTTTAGTGTTGGCTTTTAAAAAAATTATTTTATACATGAGGAAACTAAGGCTCAGAGAAGTAATTTGCCAGTATTAGAAAATTCTTACTACAAACTGAGAAGGGAAATGTGAAAATGGGGGCTCCTTTTCCCCTTTGCTCTTAGGGAACTTACAGAAAGATGATCTAAAATTGGAAGATGTTGATACTGAAGAGAGATTCAATTGGAGAGTCTGAGTAGCAATGTAGAGTCCTGCTTCACCACCCCCAAGTCATTGTCTCTCCTACATAATGCACACCTGAGGATTCTAACATTCCATACCTGTGGCTGTGCTGAGAGAGTCCTGCCTGCAGGCTGGGACCTCAGGGCCTCACTTTCCACAGGGAAGGGCCCTGGGGCCCTGGTTTGCTAATCTCAAGTACTAATGTGGGGGTGGGACAGAGGGTGGGACCTCCCTGTGTCAAAGGTTGTATGTCCTAACCGGTATTGACCTTGCATTGCACAGCAATGATGACACTGGCAAGTGTTTTTGCTCTTAAACAAAGGGCACAGATCCACAGTGACCTCAGCTCCATGTCAACTCCTGACTCAAGAGGTCATCCAGTTATTTTGTCCTATTCTCTCCTGTCCAATTCGGGACAAGGGGTGCTCTGTGGGGAAACTGAGCGTGGACTTCCTGGGTCAGGGAGAGGATGAGGAAGGGCTCCTTAACTGCGAAATGGTTGGGGCAGGGGGGTGGTAGGTGGGTTGGATTTTGCTCTGAGACCAGGACCCAAACAGGGAGGTCAGGTTCACAGGGAAGGGATGAGGCTGAGACCACCATGAGAAGACTGCAGATTCCCAGTGTAGTTTGCTTCCTCAGGGCTGAGTGGCTGACACAGCCTCATGTTGAGAGGTGAGATCAGGGAATCCCTGGGTTTTCTCTGCGAGCTATCCCAGCTGGTTAACACTTCCTAAGGGCTTACTGTGTGACTGGCATGCTTTTCATGTATTAACTCATCCCAGCAACCATAGGAGGCAGTTATTATTATCTCCATTTTAAAGATGAGGAAAACTGAGCCTCAGAGAAGTTAAGAAACTTACCCAAGGTCACAGCTAGTGAATAGCAGATTTGAATTTGGGCAGTCTGGCTCCAGACTGAGCTCCTAAACACTATGTTTCCCTGCTTCTCAAGTGAAAAGGTTCAGTCCTACCAACCTCAAAGCAGCCTCACTGAAATACCCAGTAGCTACCTCATGTGCTGGTCACTGTGGTAGACTGAATAATGGCTCCCCAAAATACCCATATCTTAATGTCCAGAACCTGGGATTGTCACCTTATATGGCAAAAGGGACTTGGTAGATGTGGTTAAATAGAAAATTAAAATGAAAAATCAATTGAAAAAATTTATCTTTACTGTTGAAAGTATTACAGGTGTCCCATTTTCCCCCCCAATTGACCCCCTCCACCTCACTCTCACCCCCTCTCCAGGCCTTCACCCTGTTATTGACTGTGTCCATGGGTTATGCATAGATGCATATAACTTCTTGGGTTAATCTCTTCCCCCCCTCCACCCCCCCTTCCCTCTTTCCTCTGAAATATGATCATCTGTTGCCTGTGTCAACGTCTCGGATCTATTTAGTCCGTCAGTGTCTTGTTCATTAGCTTCTTCTTAAAGAATACTCTTCAACATTTCCTGTAGTACTGGTCTGGTGGTGATGAACTCCTTTAGCTTTTTCTTATCTGTGAAGCTCTTTATCTGACTTTCAGTTCTAAATGATAGCTTTGCTGGGTAGAGCAATCCTGGTTGTAGTTCCTTGTTTTTCATCACTTTGAATATTTCTTGCCACTCCCTTCTGGCCTGAAAAGTTTTTGCTGAGAAATCAGCTGACAGTCACATGGGTGCTCCTTTGTAGGTAACTAATTGCTTTTCTCTTGCTGCTTTTAAGATTCTCT